CAATTTAAGATGTGTTAAAATGATGACTCGAAGGGTTACAACTTTACTTCAAGTATCATTTTCCAATTCGATCGTTTGCTATGTCGAAAATGGGTCCATATATGAGACTAAAACCTTAGAGCATAACTTTTTCGGTTCGGTTAAAAATTGATGTGTGATCAAACTTTGATTATATTTTATCCGTTTGACATCTTTCTTCATCTAATTGACTAATAACACTCTCAAATCTTCATCGTGAGGTTCGACACAACTTTTGAGTATTTGCACTTTAGTCCCCAAACTTTGAATATCTAACAATTTAGTCATTTTCTCCAAATTTGCCAACTTTTGCTTATTTTCTTCAATTTTATCAACATACATCACAACATTAGAATACATTAAAACGCTCTAAAACTTGTAGGAATTAGGTAAATATCAAGCTTAAATGGTGTCTAAAGTATGAGTGAAATACACTCATTACGCCTCAACGCCTCAACCTCTTTGGATTATAATTTATCTCTTTTGGTTAACCTATTGCCTTTGTAGTTGTGACAATCATGTTACTAACTATTAGGCGTTGGAATTGACTTGTAAAAGGAATTGTATTGTGGTAATTTAAGTATAGTCATGACATTTGTATTGATAGACAGGTGAAAGTTCAAAAATGGTGTCATTATGCCATGATGGCTTGCAGTACTTGTGCTACGCACTTGCTTTGTGATGAATGAAGAGATTGGTGGTTTTCTTCAGTACTTTTAATCTAAAATTCAATTGTGCACGCTGAATTTGATCTTTGGTCAAGGTCTTCTATTTCTTCTTGTATAACTGATGATTTCACTTATCCAAAATAGACTAGACGAATTCCACGACCCACTGCCCAACACGCGCAAGCAAGCTGCAAAACCAGTGTTCGTGCATTCTGAAAGAAACCCTCCCATAAATCTATAAGAAAACAATTTTATTATTATTATTATTATTATTATTATTATTATTTTATTTTTTTTTGTTGTTGAGGAATTCTCATTATAATCAGATGTTGAATTTTTATTAGATGAACTATTTATTCTCTGCTCGCCCTTCATGCATGCGCTTGCATTTCACTCCTATGTTCATTTCTTATGAATATGCTTGCTTTGTGTTATGACATTCTTTGTTTCTTAGACTGGGTCCATTTTAATTAAACTATTCTGAATAAATTGAAGTACCTGTATGGTCACCAATCCTTGGAAGAGGGGATGCGTGTCTGGAACCTTGCCTTGATCATCATCTTAGAAAGCATATAAGGATGTTGAATTATTATTATTATTATTTTAAACTATGCTTGAAAAAGTTTGGTTGTCTTTTTAACAATTTATATTTCCAACCATTCTACCAACATTAACATAAGTCTTATTAAATTTGAAGTTGGCTACATAAATCCTTTTCCACCACTTCATTTGTTTCGTGGCCTTATCTACTAAAAGACACAATGAATTGAATCTTTTGCAATTATGTTTAACTATGTTGGTTTTTCATTATAGTATACAATAACAAACTAAGTTTTATTCATATTAAGTTTAGGGCTGGCTGCCTGAGTCCCTTACGTGAGTTAACATGTCATAAGATGGAACAAAGTCTTACATTGGTTGTCAACCATTGCAACCCTTCTTCATCTGGACTTTGGTCCGGCTATGAAAACCACGGGCAGAACTTTTTCTTTTTTTGCTCAAGTGTTATACATTAAAAATAGTAAGAGATCCTGTATAGAACAAGTATTTGGTCGTGTCCAAGTGTTTTGCACTATAGACATTTGGCTAATCGGATACTTGGGTATGCTCACCCCATATTGTTGTACAGTCATCCAAGTGACAGCCTACATTAGGTAATTGTTATGGATGTTCTGATAATCTCTTGCTTTGGGTGTTATATGTCAGTATGAGGTTGACACGATTTAGAAAATCTGAAAATATTGTTCCCTTGGTTGCAGACTGATTGGGAGGGTGGTTTTTACCCGCTCACTATGCACTTCAGTGAAGACTATCCGAGCAAGCCACCAAAGTGTAAATTTCCCGCAAATTTCTTCCATCCTAATGTCTATCCATCTGGAACTGTTTGCCTTTCAATTCTCAATGAAGACAGTGTAAGTCATCCTGCACACTTCTCCGCCCTTTTCATGTTGACCAATTATTGATCAACATCATGTTTGGCTGCACTTAAAAGTAAGTCAAACTTATGAAGTTACTTTTTTAAAATAATTACTGTGTCATAAAGTCTCAAGAAAAGTACCTTTTAAGCACAAAAAAACACAAGCTCTTACAGCTTATTTTAAATTTCTCTGTTACGCTAGGATTAAGTGTCTTCATTATTTCTAGGGGTGGAGACCAGCCATCACAGTGAAGCAAATTTTGGTTGGGATTCAGGATTTGTTGGATCAGCCCAACCCTAACGATCCTGCGCAAACTGAAGGATACCATATGTTCATCCAGGTAATTAAGTTCTTCCTGTAGTGCCTCCTTTGATTTTCTTTCTTTATAGAAATTAGTAATACAATTGTGTCATCAGGAGCTTTAGAGTCTTGTTAAAATGATAATATTCAAGGAGATAGAGAAGGGTATCCACGCTAGTTTTGTGACGACCCGAATTCTTGACTATTCGGGTGTCACTAAGTAAAACTCAATTCTTTCATAAGAACTAAAATAAGAACACAAAATAATTTTATTTTCTTCAATAAGTAAATAAATTCTGGTTTTATTATGTAACTGGGAAAAATGAAATAAAAAAAATAACTCCAACATAAAAGCTAAATTGGAAATTCAAAGTGTGTTTTAAATACAAAATAATTTATTAATCCTAGTCCGTTGTCATCCCACCTTAACTGCCTCGAATCATCAACTGCCTGAAAGGGGTTAGATTTATAAAATCTCAATAAGTACGCCATGAATTATTATCGTGTATAACTTAAAGGAGTATAATAATCATAATTAACATAATGGAGACACAAGAATTTTACTGAGCATAAGTGGTAAGAATTCTTATGTGTAGCGCTACTAAATTTCAATTCCCTTAATATAATCATAATCATATCGTACCATATGGGACCAATAATAATTTTCTTGAAATTCATAACATAACAATAATCTGACATAGACAACGTACTTACAGTGAAATTTGAAGAAAGAGTAATAGAGATTTGATCCCTCTACAATTTCCACCTCGGCTTATGAATGTGTATATGTGTATATTATTTAGATTGAAAAATAATAGCGAGTGGTAGCGTATGAATGTAAGACAAGACTAGGCATACATCATTAAGAAAAAACCCATGATGGTGGAAATTGTTGATTAATAAAATTACCTGATTACTTATCAAAAAAATAATAAAAAAAAAAAATTGTGAAATGATCAAAAATATCTCGCTCATTCCTACATTCATGCATTCCCATTACACGTTACCTTAAGTTTGGTCAATCAAGAATATGACAAAAAGTAAATATCAAGGATTTTCTATACAAGTGTGTGGCTAAGAATTCAACCTTTCTTTAAAACAAAAATATGTGGGAATTAGCATTTATAGTATGTTTGCTACAAGATCCTAGAAGGTGGATCAACCCTCAAATGAGCTCCTAAATTTTCAATTCTAATAATTAGACCCAGAAATTCGGGTGTAGGTATTATAAGTTTTGGGACTGATTTTCTTTCCTTTTACCGCCAGAAGAAAATGTCGGAAATGCGAACAGAAAGTATGAATGAAAAATGAAAGGGAAATGCAGTGGAATATGTTACAGTCTTCTTAGTTCTTTTCTGGATTGATTGTATGTCGATCCTTATCCAAATTCAAAGCCGAGAAGCTCCCTCCAGGTTCATTAGGATACAGAATAGGTAAGGTATAGAGATCTTCATTAGCTTACTGACTTGCGGATAATATGTGCAGGATGTTGTAGAATACAAGAAGAGGGTTCGTCAACAGGCCAAGCTGTATCCATCAATTCTCTGAAATCTGCACACACGGTTGTTTTAGTTTGTGACCATTTCTAGTTGTTAGAAACACTTGTTTCTTTGTAAGTTTTCTATTTCTATTTCAAAAAATTCGAGCTTGTGTATTACAATAGATCATCCATTCCCCCGTATCTTGTGTGCCGTGTGCAGTGAACCTTAATCAATGGTGTTCGACATTCTTGACTTTGGTGTGTCCCTTAGTCAATTGCGTTTGTCATGTTGATATTAAAGATTTCCTATCAAACAAATGCTAGGAAATAGCACCCACGAGCCCAAACTGGCTCTTGTTTCCGCTCATGTTATTGGTACTCTTCATGGTGTTCAAAATTGTTTGTTTATATTGAGCCCTGTTTGATAACCGTTATTTCACGCAATAAAACATTCTTTACGTAAACACAAAATGTTTCCCTATTTTATAACTACACATTTTAAAAAAAAATTCACTATTCAAGATGTTATTTTTCTCAAATAAATTCCATCGAACGGGCTAATTTTCGATACCAAGTACTCTATACCAATTGCTTTGGGTTCTAAATTTATTTATTTATTTTTATTTCAAGTTTTAAATGTGTTTAACTGCCATTTTTAAGTTTTAGCCCTTGTTTGACAAAGTTTTTATGAGATTATAAGTTGATTAAATTTCATTTTTAGCCACAAGTTTTATTGGATTCACCATTTTTATTCACTTTTAATCATACATTTCATGTGATTTACTAGCTTATAATCTAAAAAAGCATTGGCGAACAAGGTTTCAGTGCTTGTTTGGATAAAACCATCATGGATTATGATGAAAATGTGTAGTGGGTCTCACAAGGTTTTGTAAATAAATGGACGTAGTTGTGAATTTGTGGTTAATATTAATCTGTGACTATGACTGACAATTATAATGTTATCCAATCAAGTGTTTCGATTAAATGTCTGATTTGTGCATGTCCACCAGAATTTTTTTATTTATTTATCAGATATACTTTTTATCTACACATTTTGTAAAACGGGTTAACTTATTACTAAATTATAATATGCACATTTTGTATGCTCTGTAATTTATAAGCACTTAAAAAATAAATTTAAACGTTGCCAATCATGCAAAAAATAGATGGCGCGAACAACTTGATCAAATGAGATAATGCGAACTTGGAAACATTTGACACAATCATAAGAATACACTCTAGAGTGACAATTATTCATTTATTCTCTTTAAAAATGTTTAAATTGTCAAAAGGTGATGTTAAACAGTGAATCCTCATCAATTTGCCTTGAGCCTCGTTTTCGGGTGAAAGATTTTGTAATAGTAATTTTTTAAAAATGTGTAGTTAAAAAAATAGAAAAAAAAGGCTAAATTTACATCCAAAATTATTTTATTGTAAGAATATAATTGAAAATGAATTTTTAGATAACGAGACTCAAACATGGGTTTAATCTTGTCTCATTGGTTAAGAAGTCAATGATTTAAGGAGTGGTATGACTTTACCCTCAACTCCAACTCAAAGAATATTTGGCAAAGATTTAATTATAATTTAAATTGCTTAATTATTATTTTTATTTTATATATATAATAGGATTTACAACTTACTATTCACATTTTTATTTACATATTCTGTAATAATCACAATTTATAAGCACTTAAATACACTTCTAAGCAAACACTCATTGAGTGGTCGATGATTACGATGTTGACCTTACTCGGTAAATGGGAGTTCTTGATGGTGATCATCTATATGCTATGACAGAAACATGAATGGTATGATTAACTTATATTTTTTTGTAAGTTGTAGGAAAGGGGCACTGAAAAACATGTCGTGGATGCATGAGGGCTCTATCTGCGATAGCATGTGTAGACTCGAATGATACTATTTGATAAAGTTTTCTATTTTAAATAAACAATGTTATTTAGCATCAGTCTAATTAATGCTATATGATAAACTCAATTAAATTTGGTGCTACAGTATCATTTTAAATTGTGATATATGATACGATCAACTTAATGTAAAATTATACATCTTGTTTAAATGTACATTTTATTTTAAATTACTTATATTACTTAATTATCAGTTGTGCTAAATAGCTATGTGCTTGACTTTTGCGTAATTGGGTGTTAAATATTTTGTTAGTCAATCAACTTATACCATTATCACGCTTTACTTACCAAATTTTAAAATACTTTATGAGTGATCAGTGAAGTTTAATACATTACACTCCATCACTCACTCACCATATTAATCATTGAACTTAAAATGTTTCATAGTGGTTACTAAAATTTAACATGTTTCACTCAATTACTCGCTTATCATGTTTCTTTAGTCATTGAATTTATATATCCGTCACGCTTTACTTATTGAATCTAATTATTCAAAAACTCAAAAAGCAAAAAAATATCATACATGAAGACTACGCCCTTCTTTCCTCTTGAATTATCTTGTCACAATTCTAAAAGTTTTATTTTGCTCGTCTTGAATAATATTATTGATTTTAAATAAAAATTTTCATTGCCCATCGGAGATATAATTTATTATTATTATTTTAATTTGGATCTAAGATCTCAATCAAAGTAAAGAAATAATTTTTCTATTTTATTCTCTCGACGTAAGGAAGAATCTGATTTAAATTAATATTTATGTTAATTTAAAACTAGCACTCCCAATAGTTATCAGTTCGAGTCCTTTCAAAACCACTGAGGTAAGTACTCGACTATAAACTTCACGACCCTATGGGAGTAATCGAGGTACGCGCAAGTTGGTTCGAACACTCACAATCATAAAAAAAATAAAAAAAATACTAATACTCTTATTTCCCCTTGAACATAGCTTTTGACGATTAGAGAAATTATATTTTATTGGTCAATATTAATATTCTCTTCTTGGATTGGGGGTTTCATTATTTAGTCGATACTTATTTTATTTTTTTATCTAGGTCGAATCTTATAGAAAATCAACTTTATCAAAAATATTATAAAGTTCAGTGATTACTCGAAAGTATTTTAAAATTTAGTAAATAAAGTGTAAGAGAGGTATAAGCTCAGTGAGCAATAGAGTATAACATATTAAAATTAAGTGATCACTCGAAAGTATTTTAAAATTTAGCTACTCATGGAACATGGTGAATTAATGAGTTCAAACGTGTTTAACCATAGTCACCACTGGAAAGCAAACATTTAACTCATTAATTGGGGGTGTGTGTATATGTTCCGGTCTCAAAAACTGAAATCTTTAACTTTCAATAGGACGAGTTTGGAGCTCCCCCTAGGGCATATCTGTAAGCTGATTCCATGGACGATCTGACAGCTTACTATAATCCTCCAATTCACCACCCATACTACCAACCTCCACCCCCTCCTCCACCGCCGGGGGCGGCTCATCCACCTCCTCCTACTGTGGTGGCTCAGCCACTTCACCACCACCAGCAGTATCAACCCCAATTCATCACCTATGCTCCCCCGGTCTACCCCCAGTCCTCGCAGGACCAGCTCCGCACGCTCTTTGTTGCAGGGCTTCCCGAAGATGTTAAGCCTCGAGAGATTTACAATCTCTTCCGCGAATTTCCTGGATACGAGTCCTCTCATCTTCGGCCCCCTACCTCGTCTAATAACCAGGTATATACATTATTATCAACTGGTGAGGTTTAGTTTTTTTTAGTTAGAAAATGTTGTTATTAGACGTATTACGTACATGTGATTCAGTGATTGGACTTGTATTTACGGCATTTGACGGTTATAATTAATCTTTTTGTTAATTATTGTGGAATTATGTCTTGGTATAAGTCTCTGAAGATTGACTGAAAAAGAATGAGTACATTCATATAAATTACGGAGAAAGTTAAGTTAAAATGAACTTAGATTAATTTTATTGCTTGAGTATGAAGAGGTCAGAGAGAATTTGTGAGAGAATATAGAATCAAAAGAGAAAAAACAGAGAAGATGGAGGAAATCAGAGACTCTAAATATTGAATAACAGATTTGGCTATTAAATAGCCTTTCAAAGAAAACTGAAATAAACAAAAACATAGCCCACGTTTTACAACTCCTATAACGTGGCAAGAAGACTAAATCAACAATTAAGAAATACCAAAAAAGGGGACATTACAGATGTGGTGATAACTAACCACTTGACCACTAAATTAAACATAAAACTAACATTTTCCCCCTTAAACTGAAGACTCTAAGCTTCAGTTTACATCATTCTCAGAACAAATTCCCAATTGTTCTCGCAGCTCGGCAAAAGTGTTCAGCTTGAGTGGTTTAGTCATTATATCAGCCAATTAATCTTTTGTATCATAGTGCACCAACTCTACAATACCATCCTTTGTAAGATCTCGAAGAAAATGAAAACGAACATCTATGTGCTTGCTTCGACCATGCATTACAGGATTCCTCGAAAGCTTGATTGCAGAGCTGCTATCACATTGAATTACGCATGACTTGCTTTGATTTTGATCCAGTTTTCCCAAAACTCTTTTTAGCCATACTGCCTGACATGCACAAGAAGTTGCAGCAATGAATTTTGCCTCTGTGATAGATAGACTCACCACTAGTTGTTTTTTTTATGACCAAGAAATTGCCCCTGAACTTAAGAGAAAAACATAGCCTGATGTACTCTTTCTATCAATGTAAGCAACAAGTTCAACATCTCCTCCCTTTCTATAAAAAAATCCCAAAATCAGTTGTTCCTTTTAAATAACGCAACACCCTTTTTGCTATCTGTTGATGTAGTTCAGTGGGATTTTCCATATACCTACTAATGATGCTTGTTACAAACATTAAATTTGGTCGAGTAGCTGTGAGGTACATGAGACTTCCTACAATTTGCTTATAGTACGTCTTGTCCACTTTAACTCCTCCTTCATAAGCTTGCAACCAGGAACAATGGGATTAAAGACAGAATTACTTTTATCCATTACAAACCTGTGTATTACCTCAGAGGCATATTTTTTTTTGGTTAACAAAAATACCAGCATATTTTTGCAACACTTCAAGACTAAGGAAATACCTCATCTTACCAAGATCAGTCATATCAAACTCATGCTTCATTGAATGTTTAAATTCTGTAAACATTGATTCGTCATTTCCAGTAAAAATTAGATCATTGACATACAAACTTACTATCAAAACTTTACCTTCCTTGTTAGTTTTAATGAATAGAGTATGTTCGTAGTCACACTTTTCAAATGTTTCCTTCATGAAATATGCTTCTATGCGACTATAGCAAGCACTTAAGCCCATAAAGTGCCTTCTTTAGCTTATAAACTTTTTCCTCATTTCCCTTTTGCACATAACCACAAGGTTGCTCTACAAAGACTTTTTCATGCAACTCACCATGTAAGAATGTGGATTTCACATCCAATTGATAAATGGACCACCCTCTTTGGGCTGCAAATGCAATCACCAACCAGATTGCCTCCATACATGCCACAGGCGCAAAAACTTCAGTATAGTCCACCCCATATTGCCGTGTGTAACTTTTTGCTACAAGTCGAGCTTTGTACTTTACTATTTCTCCATTTTCATTTAGCTTGGTCTTATAAACCCAATTTACTCCGATTGTCTTTCCTCCTTTGGGTAATTCTGTTAATTCCGTAGTACCATTTTTCTTTATTACTTCCATTTCGACATCCATAGTTGTCCTCCATTTCTCACTTTTTACAGCTTCTTCAAAATAAATAGGATCAGCAACTGTAAACATGGCAAGTTGAACTTCATTTTCTTCCTCGGAAAGACCTTCTCCAGTTTCAAAATTTCTCATCCAGACAGGTGGTCTGCGATTTCTTGCTGCAGGTTGAGAATTTGTTTCAGCCACACAATTCCTTGTTGCAAGTTGAGAATCCGATTCAGCAGCGCCATCATCTTCATTTACTTCTACATCAGCATAAACATTTGATTCATCCTCTTCTTCATTTACAATTACTTCTTCAGAACCACCCCATTCCAAATCACATATAATACTTGCTTCATACTTCTTATCCCAATTCCAGTGCTTGTCTTCTTCGAACACATCTCTACTAATAATAATCTTTTGCGAAACTGGATCATAAAGCCTGTAAGCCTTTGATTCTTCACTAACTCCCAGCAAAACACAACTAAAGCTCTTGTTGTCCAGTTTAGATCTTTTATTGTCTGGAATATTAACATGAGAAATGCATCCAAAAACTCTAAAATAATCAACTAACGGCTTAACTTTACCCCAAGCTTCTTCTGGAGTGTTGTTTTGAACTGCGAAAGTTGGACTTCTATTCAGAACACGCACCGTCCAATTTACTGCTTCAGGCCAAAAAGTCTTAGGAATTTTCTTTGCTGCCAGCATACTTCGAACCATATTCGTGGTAGTTCTATTCTTGCGTTCCGCAACACCATTCTGTTGTGGTGTATATGCTGCCATCAACTGTTGTTGTATGCCATTTACATCACAGAAGGTTACAAATTCGTGGGATGTAAATTCACCTCCTCGATCAGTTCGCAGGCTTTTCAGAAAAGAACCGGCTTCCTTCTCAACACGAGTCTTAAACTTCTTGAAAACAGTAAAGGCTTCTGATTTCTCTTTCAAGAAATAAACCCATGTTTTTCTACTAAAATCATCAGTGAAGGTAAGGAGGTACCTTTTGTTGCTTTTAGAGATGGGTGTAATGGGTCCACAAATGTCTGCATGCACCAATTGAAGAATCTCTGTAGCTCACCAGGTACTCCTTTTTGGAAATGAATCCTAGTGTTATTTCCCTACCAAGCAGTCCTTGCATAACTTGGAGGGAGGTTGAAGATGTGGTAATCCTTTTACAATTTGCTTTTGCTGAAGAGTCTTTAAACCATTAAAACTCAAATGTCCATACCGACAATGCCAAAGCTGCACAATATCTTCTATGATTGTGTTAAAACAAGTAGATACTGTAGGCCGAGATAAAGCATGCAAGACAAACATTCGATTTGAGGACATTTTCGAATCCATAATCAAACCTTTCTGTGAGTGGAACACCTTACACTTGCCATGCTGAAATAAAATAGAAAGACCTTTTTCTTGCGACTGTCCAATACTTGGCAGATTGTTCTTTAGCTCGGGTACATAGAATACACTTGTAATGATTTGAGTTAAGCCATTCATTTGCAGCCTAACATTTCCTTTTCCTAGAACCACTAAGCTCGTGTTGTTGCCGAGCTTCACAGAATCTCGAAAATTCACATCAAGATCAGAGAAATACTCCTTTCCACACATAGGGTTGCTACATCCAGAGTCTAGAAACCATGTATTTTCTCTATTAGCGTTGTTCAGATCCATATACGTCATCAACCGCATCTCTTCTTGATTCTTTGCATAATTTGCCTCTGTTTCTTTGCTTGGACATTCCTATGCAAAATGTCCTAGCTTGTGACAATTATAGCATTCCACCGTGGCCTTATCAAAAGACCTCCTATTTCGACCTCTTCCTCTTCCTCTATAGTTTGCACGACCACAACCTTTTCCTCCTGAGTGATCACCATGAGTAATCTGCAGGACCTGTTCTTCCTCAACGTAGGAACTCACGTGTTGTTCATGCACAAGTAGGCTACTTTGCAGTTCATCAATGGTTAAAGTATCAATATCTTTGGATTCCTCAATAGAACCCACAACATAATTAAACTTAGGTGACATGGATTGCAAATTTTTTTCAACAACAGCAGTATTACCCTTATCCTCACCATTTGCTTTCATCTTGTTGGCGATGGTAAGAGTACGAGAAAAATACTCATTCACAGATTCTCCTGTCTTCATATGAAGAACCTCGAACTCATTTTGAAGAGCTTGCAGATTTGCACGCTTTACTCGTGATGTACCTTGATGTTTCTGCTTCATAGAATTCCATATATCCTTCGAAGTATTCTTGTTAAGGATTGCCTCTAGGATGGAACGATCTAATGCCTGAAATAGATAGTTCTTTGCTTTCAAGTCTTTCAACTGCTGGTCTTCAATATGCTTCCTCTGTGCATCAGTAAGAACAACACCTTCTGCTGCTGCAGGAACTCTATTTTCCACTAGCCCCCAATACTCCTTTGAACGCAAGAAGTTCTCCATACGCATCGCCCAATGATCATAATACCCATCAAACTTTGGAACAGCTGGCTGTACAAACAAACTCTTTGTTGTCATTTGTAGGTCACTCGTAGAAGACTGTTGCTTCTATTTAATCAGGCCCCTGTTATGAGGCTCTGATACCAATTGTGAGAGAATATAGAATCAAAAGAGAAAAAACAGAGAAGATGGAGGAAATCGGAGACTCTAAACATTGAATAACAGATTTGGCTATTAAATAGCCTTACAAAGAAAACTGAAATAAACAAAAACATAGCCCACGTTTTACAACTCCTATAACGTGGCAGGAAGAGACTAAATCAACAATTAAGAAATACCAAAAAAAGGGGACACTACAGATGTGGTGATAACTAACCACTTGACCGCTAAATTAAACATAAAACTAACAGAATTGGCTTGAGAAGCACATGAAAACAAAGTCTTTAAACTCGTTTGTAGCAGTATTGGCTTCTGAAAAGCATAAGCCAAGAAATCCATTTGTAAATTAAAAAGATGGGAATGATCACTTGCCCAGACAACTCATTTAGTGCACAAAATCCAGCGAACTTTCTTAATTTGTCAAACAAGAGTTGGTCATAGAATTGTCAATCCGCTGAATTTTTGCCTTCAAGATTTTGTTCTTCCCAATGAATTGTTTCATGTGCCGCTGAGTTAATCCTGTTTGGAGTATTGACCAGAAGTGAGCTTTATTGTCTATTTTATCCCATGAACATATTTTTATCAGTGAAAATCTTTTGGAGAAGTATCATTTTGTCCTGCACAGTTAATTTGCACATGATTTGATGTCCTTTGTATTCTCCTCCTCCTTTTTTGAACTGCATTCTGAGATGTTCTTTATGTATTCCAGCCTTTTGCTTTTGCAACTTTTGTGGATCAACAATCAGCAGTCTTGGCATTACATGCTTTGAATGTAAGGATACTCTGCCAGATACCAATTTTATCATAACTCTAGCAACATTAGTTGATTTAACATGAAGTTTTTTGTCATTTGTTCAAGAGTGCAAACATCTACATATACCTGTACATACTTTCTGATATGCTTTGTTTGGATAAGATGTAGAAATTAAAATCCGGTGATTACAATGGAGAATGTTTAAAAAGGCGTAAATGGATACTGAGGTTTTTCTCTTTCATGAGGTGAGGCGTAAGCCTCATTATAAACGCAAAAATTAAAAAATAATATAAAACACCCAAATAAATCAATAAATAGCAGATAATCAATCATCCTATTGCAGTGGGGACTTACTTATAGTTGGAGTTTCTGAGAAGTTGCCTTCCTCAACATTGGAGCTGCCAAGAAATTGTAGTGTGTGTCAAAATAAATGCATAGAGGGGAAGAATTGCAGAAAAAATATATTGTAATTGCCAAATAAAAATAAAAAAAATTAAAACCAGAGAGTTACCTGCTGTAGACTGCCGGTCACGGGAGGCGGGTAGGATTCTCCTTTTGCCTTCTGCTTGTCTTGTTGCGTGGGGCAGAAGAATTGTAGAACTTTGTCTGCCTCGTTATAATACTTGTGTGCAGTAAAGATTTGGTGGCCCACTTTTAAAATTAACTTTCTGAATATTTAAAATTTATATTTTTAAGAGCTCATTCCTCAGACATAAAATTATTGAAATCAAGCAGACTTCGAGAAAAAGCCTTAGCGTCTCTCTAGCCAGGGGCGATACGGCCCCCCATGGAGATTCCCAACCTCATACACTCAAAGACCCATGACCCGCCACCCAAACCTCCTGACCTGACCAAGTGACGCCAACTGTTGCCCCTCACCTGCTCAAGCCTCACGCCACCCATATTGAGTCCCAGACAATTATGCACTCTGGGGTATATCGACAAACATGGTATCCCTAGTGTCAGAGGTCTTTATCAACATTTTCCACTTTACCTTTTTATGGAAGGCAATACATCCTTTCTTTACATTTGCTACTTTTTGGAGGTCGGGTTTATGTCACCTCCCTTGTATTTTTGTGAGTTCCATTTAAATTATGGTATGGCACCTTAACCCCATCATCCTTCTTTGTTGGAGCCTAACCTTCACTGAGGATTTGTTGGTGATTAATTTAAAAAAATTAGCCCACACGTCACACAAATTGAGGCATGCAAGTGGATGGGCATTCCTCGTTAATGTGACATGTACGCCTTCCCAAATCGTGTTAAAAATTGTGCTTTGAGGCAGATTACTCAAGGTGCACGTGCAATGGAGGAATGATCTTTGCTTCCTAGTAACTAAAAAACGAAAAATATGCTGGGAAAATAGAAATTTATATAAAATTATGCTCTTAATCATGGTTTTCATTTGCGATGCTCTTTACAGGGGATGGTATTTGACCTTGAAAAGGGCTCTACCTTATATATTGATCTTGCAAAATCTAATTCCAGAACGAAGCGCTTGAGAGCAGGTAGACTTGAAGTCCCGAATATATGTTTCTTTTTCTTCTGGTTTTTCTTGTTGCATATATTGGCTGGCCAGTTGTTGATCAAGTGAAATGTGATTCTAAACACCCAGATGATGACAGACCTGGTTCAGAAAAGAAGCTAAAAGGATCTGCTGCTTTTTCTAGGGACTCTAATCCTGGTAGGATTTGTGCTTTGTTCAGTTATTCAATACAGATGTAATTGACTCCTCATGGTGCACTGTTTATTCTTCTATACTTATATTTATGATTTTATCCTCTCTCCCACTCAACCTGCATAGTTTTTATGTTACTGGTAGTGTCTTATGAGGAACTAGCTAGTTAGTCACGCAGAGGACACATTATTCTAAGTGCTCACATTGCACATGTTTTGCACGCTTGGGCACTAGCAGGTGTTGGCAGCGTTCACGTGCCTGGAATGAGTAATTCTGCTTACAACACGATTGGTTATTCATCCACACAAAGGTCATCTGCACTCTTAAGCACATTTTTATTACTTGGCAGTGATTACTTCAATAAGCATGATGAATATACTTTAAAAGATTACTTATAGCTGAAAGGTTGAGGGCAAAGCAGGTGTGCTTGTGATATGCCCTATTCCCTGAAGTTAAGAGTATTTATTAGTCTATTATGCTACCAATAGTGAGGTACTCATCTAACTAATATTTCCTTTTCTCATACTGCAGTTATGGAAACACTGGTGCCGGAGCAGTGAAGGACACTACTGCAAAATCGGTATTGTCTATTTCCAATATGTTTGCATAACTTTTTCAGTTCATTCAACTTACCGTTGTACCTTTTAATTGTTTAATATATAGGGGAATTGCAGCGGAAAAATGCTTTTGATTGTATTCCCATAAATCGCCTTTATGTTTGTATATGCTGTTTGGATCCTATGGAATGAGATAAAAATAGATTTTCAACCAACTTATAAACAATTATAAGCTTTGCCGAACATGCTACGAGACTGCAACCTGTGTAAAAAGACTTTTCGTGGTTTGACTTCAAAACATGTGGAACTATAACAATCTTCCAAAAATTAAAAAAATAGGAATTATATCAAAGAATGGCAATTTATTAATCGCTCTTCACATAATCAACTTTATTTAACATTTATGGGTACAGGTAATTGAATCCTTTTTGCTAAAATTTAGGATATGGGAATACAAAAGGAATCCAAATTTATACGTGGATAAGCTTGTTTACATTTTTTTAGAAATTATTGTACTAATAATTTTATATGCAATTTTTAGCGATATGTATATTTTTTTGAGTGAAATTTAAATAAACTAAAATGTAAATAGTCATACTTATTTTGGGTAATAGATTATAGAATTTAATAAACATAATATATATATTTGTGCAAGTTATTGTTCAGTTGACTTTTATTGAATTTTGTTAATTGAATTCAGTTGGGCTACATGTAGCATTAAATGGGTTCGTTTTCAACACTTTGTCCAAAATGGAGTATGAGCATTGCAGATTTAAACTTACTCTAGGCTCTTTACTAGTAGGGGTTGCAACTGTCATGAAGGAATACTATCATTAGATAATCTAATGTTGTATGGAGTGTTTATGCTCCTTTGACTTATTGGGAAACTAAAAATAGTTAGGATTTGTTATGATCTTTATTCTATCTAAACCACACACACAATAATTTCTGCGACCTTTATCCTGGAAACTTAGAATACCATTTTAGTAGATAGGTAATTCGAAACTAATGGCGAGTATGTCCAAAGCCTTGAGACATGCACTTGCTCCCACAAGGCCAACACTTAGATTCTTGAGTTCATCTTTTAGAACACTATAAGTAGCATTTTGGAACAAGCTTTGACCGTATTGAACAGTTAAGTGGAAAATTAATTGGAGTGAAGGTTGAATCAAATAAGTAACTTTGCTTGCTCCCTTGCTTGATAGTGAGGGAATCCTAAGTACGTCATTTCACCATGCAATCCTTCCTGCACCTCGGACGGGTTAAGGTACTTTAGGCAGCTGAGCCGAGGAGATAATGTGACGACAGGGATGTGGATATTCCCACTTCTTTCTCTTCCTCTCTCTCTGAGTTTCTACTACTATTGTATGCATGGTGATGACTCGTTTCATTTCTTAAATGAAATTTTCGTAGATCTAGAGTTCTGCCCTATAGCCTGTGCGACTTTTAACTCTGAGTAGTTCCTCCTTTCTTTCTTTTTCAAGCGCATCAGGCAGGCTGGTGTTGGGACCTTGTTCAGTGATGACGCTATCCGCTAATCTATCTCATCTCTTCTAACAGGTGAACCTATCTCCGGATTCCACTTTTCCTAATCCAGAAAACAGACGGGATTCTAGGATTCGATTCCAAGCAGACAAAGGATAGGAAGCACTTTAACTCAAGAAGAACGAGTACAGGTTTTGCCTTTCTCATCGGGCCTTGGCTTTAGGAGATTCTTTGGAATGTTTTTGGAAAAAATAACCACTAGTAGGGATATGGATGGAGTGTTGCTCAGTAAAGTTCTAGGGCGAAGGACTCTAATCCTGGGTTTTTGAACATCAAGCTTGTGGACGCGCCCGTCCAGACATGGTGCCTTTTCTCCTTATCATCTACCGCCCTTTCTTTCCTTCGGTGGTGGGGCTATCATCTGTGAGGAGTTTGTGTGCCGCCACCAACCTTGTGGTCAATAACTGGGAAAGCCAGGAGCGTGTTAGAAAAGTAATATTTTTTAGTCGCCGTTTTCAAAGAAAATGAAGAGAATATCCTGATTTACAATGAGAGTTTGTTGCGATTTCCTGAAAAAGGCACATTTTGTCTGAATAATGTTGGTGAGAGGAATGATCATTGCCATGTGAGGCAATTCTTATCCTCATCAGAATCAAGTGTTTTGGATGGACTAAGACAAATGGATAACTTCCATTTAAAATACGAACATGTAATTAAAATCAGATAAATGTCTTTCTGGCAATAGAATTGACTTTAAGATTGCACTTTAATATTCTATAAAAGAAAATGATATGAATTATATTTAAAATCTTGTTTTAAAATTTGCTAGTAAATATAGGAAATATGCTTTCTGGAAGATTTATCAATGGATTAAAGTACAGGGCCTCTCATTAACGATATTAAATGAAGCCTATACTTGTCTGCGATTCTCCATCTCATGGTGACATGGATTTGGGTGTGGGATCAGATCCTTTACATCACTATTCACATGACAATATGGGAAAGGAGATGAGGGGAGATGTTGTCGTGGGTGGAGGGGTGGGGGTTGTTGAAGTTGGAGAAAGAGAACATAGATAGTGGGAAGACTGAAGAGAACGGAGCATGTGAAATCAATCCCTAATTGCAAAAATCTGATTTATAAAATGTAAATGGTGACTTTAAAAGAAATCTGGACACGATTTATAAAGCATGAAAAGCTGTTTAAGAGAAACCCTGCCCACGATTTTTAAAGATCTAAAAGCTTGCTGATTTGATTGTTTATTGGTGTTAGTTTGCTTGTTAGTGTACCGACTGTATAAACAACTATAGTGATTTTTTAGGCAAAAGATTGCTAATTTGATTGTTTATTGATTTGGCATCGCTTGTAAGGGTACCAACTGTTGTGTATAAACAACTCTTTTCCCCATTTGTCCAATAGGGAACCAATGCATTAAACAAAGTACATTTTGAGGTTTCATTTTTCAATACACCATCTCTGTTTATAGGCATCACTACCATCCATGGATAGACTTTCAAACTTCCATTATAATGCTGAAAATATCAGATACTATGCTCTCCCTCGGTCCCTCTCTTAAGCCTTCTCAGTAACTCTATTTCTCCTCTTTTCTTCCCCAAGATCCACTATGGGCACTGAGAATTCCAATTTTGAACAACTCAGCAAATATTAAGAACAGGACGAACAATAGTGTTAATGACTGGCTGCACCCAAAATATAATTATCTGAACAAAAACTGAAATCTTACACAACCAGATTAGACCAATGTACATGTAAAGGGGTCCTTACTATGATTCAAAACTTCAACTTAACAAATCGTAGTGGATTATGGGTTAGAAAATTCATTATCCATTTAAAAACAATGCATATCTTACAAAGGAACCCACATTATTAAAAAAAAAAAAAAATTATAAAAAATGATAAGCATCCATCACCATTTTTTACGGCAGTTGGAAGGGGTATTGGCTTATGCTTTGTGGCTGGGACAGGTGGCGATATGGTTCTGGTATGTGGTTGGAGGGGAATTATGGACACAGTATGTGGCTGAAAATAAACACTGTAGCACCCACCTCCTTCTCCAGCCGTTACATTTGTTGTAGAGGGTTGCAGGGCCCCTGAATTGTGAGCTGTGAAGGTTTGATGAACATGCGAAAGTTGTCTTGGTGTGTGGTTGAAGGGGGGAGAATGGAGGCAGTCATGGTCTCTTAGAAGTGGGTTGGGTGAGAGAGAGAGAGAGAGATTGAGTGGTGAAAGTGAAAGCAGAAGAGGTAAGTATGCTGCGAATGAGCTTGGGGTTTCAAAGTATTGAAGAGGACTATTCTCTGTCCATGTTACTTTCATATATTTCAATTTTTGGGGGGTGCCGGGTTGGGGGTTTGAGGAAAGTAAAAAAAAAATAAATTAAAAGGTAAGGATATTGAATTGCTGGGGAGTGTCAATTCTTTCTAGCTTTCAAATTTTTGTCCAGTTACATGACATTACTTAATGGGAAGTTGCAAATCTGAGTTCATTTTCAAGGTTGACTTGTACACTAACATTATAATATTTCTTTCAAAACCTTGTCTTTGCAGAACAATCCTCCATGCCCCACACTCTTTGTGGCTAATCTGGGTCCAACCTGCTCTGAACAAGAGCTGATCCAAGTATTTTCAAGGTGTCAGGAACTCTCTTCTTTGTGCTTTTTTTAGACAATAAAACCTAGAATATTATGAAAATATTTACTTGCTTTGATCATCCTTAGATGTCGTGGATTTATAAAATTGAAGATGCAGAGCACCTATGGAGCTCCTGTTTCATTTGTTGACTTTCAGGTATGCAACTTCTCTCTGCAATATTAAGCTAATAATAATCATGGATTCTGGTAAATTGCTTTACGAGAATGCTAGCCTGATCTTTTAAATATGTTTATCTGGAGAAGTGGACTTAATGTGTTGTGAGAGTTGATAGTGAGGTTGAATATCAGAGCATATAATCTCTTCTTCAGTTAGACTTGAAGGATGTTAGACTAACCCTTGTTAGTAAAAAGATGTAAATGTAGATGTCTTGCTATATGTGCTTACATTCTTGAGTGCAAGTTATTCAAAGTTGACCAGGATAAATTTGTATAACTCAATACCAGTTGTCCCATGTTTAAAATTGTAGTCACATAGCATTATTACTTATTAGTATTTTTCTCAGACCTATCTGATTATGTGTTGCAGTACTTCTCATTTTCCATTTTTTATTGACTGTAATTTCTCATTTAGAAATATTTTTTTGCCAGTAATGTGACGTGCATTTTGCAGATATAGTTTATACTTCTGCACCAATCGAGTTGGGTTTTGCTTCACATATTGCCCAAACTAATTTAGAATATAAAGAATGCAGTTAACAAGGTTCATAATGTGCTCTGAATGGAAGGAATGACAGTGTGTATTATGGTTATTGCTGCTGTAGGAATGATAGTGTGTATTAGGGTTATTGCTGCTGTAGGGATTGATAGAAGATAAGATGTGAATGCAGTTAACAAGGTTCGTAATGTGTCCTGAATGGAATGAATGATGGTGTGTATTAGGGTTATTGCTGCTGTAGGGATCAAAACTGATTGAACATGAAGATGTGAAAGGGAATCCTTTACTTCTAATGGCATATAAAACTGATCTTTCAGTGGACTTCGAAATGAGTTATGACTTGTATTTCTGTTTAAGAGATCATGGGGGATTTTGCCTTCCGCTTCAATGCTGTCCCTTTTGCCAATTGTACTATTGATTTACTGGTCATGGCTTAGCTAGCAAATTTTGATACAAGTTCCATGAGGGAATGGACTCAGTAGAAGCTTGCATGCTAGATTTTTTCTAGTAACAATTTATGCAAATACCATGATTTTGATATCTGGGATCTTACTTCTGGAGCTAGGTTTCATTGAGTTCATTATTCTATTTGTTTATTTCGTAAATTATGACATGAGTTTTACAAGGGAATAGCTCCGTAAAAGCCTGAAACATAGAGTTTTTTATTATATTTATTTATTTAGTTTAGTTATAACTCGTGTCAATAAGATGATTTTGGTATCTGGAATATGACCTCTGGAGCTAGGTTTTTTTGTATTCGTTATTCTTTTTTTTTCCCTTCTTATATCATTCGTTCAAAGAACCTTCTGATTTCATGTTCAGCATTCTTCGCTTTGTGCTGTATAATTTGACGTGTTTCTACATGTGCAGGATACTGCCAGTTCAACTGAAGCACTAAATCATCTACAAGGCACAATTCTCTACTCCTCACCATCTGGTGAGGGGATGCGGCTGGAGTATCCTTTTGAACTGTTTTTTTGTTTTCCCATGTTTACTTTCTACTGCTTCTTCTATTTCAGAATAAGCTTTTTTCAGTGCCATTAGTTTTTTGGCTTAACAATAAACTAAGGTATGCAAAGTCACGGATGGGAATGCGAAGTAAGAAGTCAAGGTGAATGAAAAATATATTTAAGCTAAAGAAAAGAGTTGAGCTACTCTCCATCAGCAATTGGTCAAGAAGCCATCACTCATGACATCCACTCTCTGAAATGTTTGTACCTTTTTTCATCAATGTAAGACCTTAATGCGAATTCCGGGGATTGATGAGCTTACCGATTTCATTTGTATTTTAAATTTTCTTTTATGTTGTTCTGCTGTTTCTCTTTCCTGTTATGTTGTCATAGATGTTAAGGAGAAAACACGTGGGTCGAGTTTGGCTGACAAATAATGGAATTGAGAAAACACAGTTAAAAATGAATACAGGTATTTACGTGGTTCATCCAATTTAGGTTACGACCACGGGCAAGTATATGAAGATTTTGCTATAGTAGGAGAATTACAACACACCCTTCAAATACAAGGAGATAACAGCAATTAATCTCTCTTGTAATTAGGAGAAAATAAGTAGGAAATACTCTTTTAATTTTCTCTCTACTCAATTTGCTTTCTACAAATCCAAGGCTCTTGATAAAGGAATCAAATCTCTTATACCAACATTTCAGTGCCTGTTTGAGACCGCATAGAGATTTGTTCAACCTGCAAACCAAGTTATCTTTTTCTTCAAAACCTTCTGGTTAGAGCATATAAATTTCTTCTCCAAATTCTCCATGAAGAAATGCAGTTTTTACATCTAATTGCTCCAGGTGTAAGTCAAATGTAGCACACATCGCCAGGACTACTAGAACTATTGTGAGTCGAACCACAGGAGAAAATATTTCGTTGAAGTTAATGCCTTCTTTCTGAGCATATCCTTTTCGACCGGTCTCGCACGATATCGCTCCACTTGGTCATTGTCATCTCGTTTGATCTTATAGACCCATTTATTTCCAATGGCCTTACTTCCTTGGGGTAGCGAAACAAGATCCCATGTCTTGTTCTTATGAAGAGCTTTGATTTCTTCTTGCATTGCTGCCATCCACAGAGAAACTTCTTGGCTATTTATAGCCTCAAGGAAAGTTGATAGCTCTCCATCTTCTGGCAGTATGCAATATTGCCCTCTATTATGTAATCTGAGTGCCAAGCCAATTCTTTTCTCTCTTGAGTTGATTGTCGAACATCTGGAGTATTAGATTCAGCTTGTTCTTCGTGCTCTAGTGTTGCTTCAGAAGTATCTATAACTTTTCGTTCGTCTCCAATTTCGACTGTAGTAGTCTCTAGTTTTCCTTTTGAAGTGCTATCATTTTATTTTCCCTGCATTTTCCCTTCCGCAAATATGACATCTCTGTTGATTATCACCTTGTGGGCAGTGGGATCCCACAGGCGTACCTCACTCCATCAGCATACCCTAAGAAAATACATTTTCTGGATTTTGGATCCAGCTTTGATATTTCTTGGGTGTTGTACATAACGTACACAGAACTTCCAAACTCATGTAAGTGAGAATAATCAGCTGGTTTACCAGTCCACATTTTCATAGGCGTCTTCAGATCAATTGCGGTTGATGGCAACCGATTGATCACATAACAGGCAGTTTTGACTGCTTCTGCCCAAAATGACTTAGCCAACCTTGTAGTCCTCAACATTGCTTTTGTTCTTTCTAACAATGTTCAATTCATCCGCTCTGCCACTCCATTTTATTGTGGAGCGTATGCCACAATGAACTGTCTCTTGATACCTTCTTGTTGATAGAAGTTATCAAATTCATCACCAGTATATTCTCCTCCATTGTCAGTCCTCAAACACTTAATCTTCTTTTCAGATTCAAGCTCCACATGTGCTTTGAATATTTTGAAGACTGCAAACGCGTCTGCCTTCCTTATTGGATACACCCAACATCTCATGGAGTAATCATCAATAAAAGATACAAAGTATCTTGCACCTCCTAGGGGTATAACCGGTGCTTGCCAAATATCGGAATAAACCAGCTCCAAGATAGCTTTACTTCTAGCAGTGAAACTGCTGAACTTCAATCTGTGCTGCTTACTAGTAACACAATGCTCACAAAAGGGTAATGAAAACTTTTTGAGCCCTGGAAGAAGCTTTTGTCCTGAGAGAATTTTCAAACCACGTTCCGACATGTGAGCAAGCTTGCGATGCCACATCATCGTTAATTCTTCTGCTGAACCTGTCGATGCGACAGATGCTTCTCCTTCTTGTAGTGTCTCTCCTTTAAGCACGTACAAATTTGCAGCTATTTTTTTCGCTTTCATCACCACAAGCGCGCCTTTAACTATTTTCATGATCCCATCTTGTATATGGGTCTTGCATTCAATGTTGTCCAATTATCCTAGAGACAATAAATTTTTCTTTAGGCCTTTTACGTGCCGTACTTCTTGGATAGTGCGAACTATACCATCATACATTTTTAATTTGATGGTACCAATACCAGCGATCTCCAAGGCATGATCATTTCCCATAAACACAGATCCTCCTGGAATAGTCTCATATTGATGAAACAATTCTCTTATTGGTGTCATGTGCCATGTAACTCCTGAATCCATAAGCCAGACATCAGAAAATTTCTTTCTACCTTCAACAACTGTTGTTGCCTAGCTGTATAAAATTTCACCATCATCTGAAGTACTTGCTACACAACCCTGAGCTTTTGATGTCTCAGGACCTTTTCCTTTAGCTTCTTCATTCTTCTTGAAACTCAAACAATCACTTTTTAAGTGCCCTTTCTTGCCACAGTAATGACACTTGACATTTTTCTTACTCCTGGATTTTGATCTACTCTGATTATGACTCCTACTGGAGCCACGTTCCGTTGATCTCCCTCTCATCATCGTTATAGCTTCTGCCTGATTCGAACTTGTCAATTTATCCTCCTTGTTCTTGCGCCTACTTTCCTCTTCAAGAACAGCAGCTGCAATATCATCGAAGACTAGAGTTTCAAGGTTGTTGGTCAAGTTGATGATGAGTTGATCATACGAATCTGGTAGACTTTGAAGTAAGATTTCAACACGTTCACCAATCTCTATATTATGCTCCATTGATGTGAGTTGTGAAAATAGAGTATTGAGGGTGTTGATGTGGTCTGTCACCGTAGTTAACTCCATCATCCTAAGGATGTAAAGCTTTCTCTTTAAGAAGATTTTGTTGTGTAACGATTTGGCCTCGTACAGCTTTGTCAGCGTATCCCATATCTCTTTGGCTGTCTTTTTCTCCGCCACACTTGACAATACTCCATCGGCTAGTGCAAGGTGCAGATTAGCAACTGCGTTGCTATCCATCTCGTTCCACTTAGTATCGTCATTGATTTCCACAGGCCTTTGTCCAATTGCCGCCAAGCAGTTATCTTTTCTCAAAACTGCTTTTATTCTCATTTTCCATAATGAGAAATTGTTCCCGTTGAACTTTTCAATTTCATATTTTGTCGCCATTTTTCACCAATACTATGATTGAACAACGACCCTATACAGAACCTTGCTCTGATACCACTGTTGGGGAGAAAACACGTGGGTCGAGTTTGGCTTACAAATAATGGAATTGAGAAAACACAACGAAAAATAGACACAGGTATTTACGTGGTTCATCCAATTTAAGCTACGTCCACGAGCAAGTATAGGAGGATTTTGCTATAGTAGGGGAATTACAACACACACTCTAAATACAAGGAGATAACAACAATTAATCTCTCTTGTAATTAGGAGAAAATAAGTAGGAAATACTCTCTTAATTTTCTCTCTACTCAATTTGCTTTTTACAAATTTTTTTCTCTCTACATGCACTCTTTCTCTTTAGCCTCTTGCCCCTATTTATAGAAAATTTCCATCGCCATTTTCCTTGGAAATGCCCAGAAAATCAGTTGGACATTTGGTTGGAACTTGCTAGATTTCCACCGCCTTAATTTGCTTGGAAGAGTCAAACAAAATGGCTGCAAATTAGGCTGTAAACGGGTTGGAGCAAAGCTGAAATCCACCGCCTCAATGTCAAGGAAAGTGGCTGGAACTGGTTGGATCAAAGTTGGACAAGAAGAGTTCAATTTGCCTACTTCTTTTTTTTTTTTTTTTTTCATGCATGCATGTATCTTTCTTGCTTGGCAATTAAGAAAGTGGCTTATCCTTTTATGGTCAATAAAAGTGTCTTTACTATAGTTATCATGTCAGGCAGGGTTTTGTAAAGGATGCAACATTGCAAGATTCTAAGAGATTTGAGCCCCGAAATTGTCAATTCTTTCAATTACAATGGAACATTTTTGCTCTCCTGTGAAGTCTAGGAATCTATTGGTGTCAAAATGGATTGATCTCTGAGGCCCATGGTAACCCGACACTGGCTGTTATGGGCCGCCCATACCCTAAGTCTAGCCATGTTGGGTCACGGTCAAAAAAGGTAGCTCAATGGCTCTCTAGGCCCAAATGGGCGGGCAGATGAGTTGTGCAGAATAGCTAACCTGGCTTGGCTTGGCTTGGCTCAGGCCAGGGCCTAGCCCATGCACGTAATGGAGAAAGTAGATCAGATTCTAGGGTGGGTTGAAGTTTCAAAAAAGTATAATTTAAAGACGTATTTTACATCACGTAGACACTTAACGCGACTCAACTTGTTATTTTCGAACGAATATCTAGTTGCTCGTGCTTTGTGTTCCTGTATTAGGACAAAGATTGTCGTTGGACGAGGAATGCAAGTCGACATGATTTGAAGAAGTTTTGAAGTGGAATTAATTGATCAAACATTGAACCGAGACCCATTTGTACACCCTATTGTTTTTAGGTACACCCTAGAATCCTCCATTTAGCAACCCAACCTATAGTGAGGGCATCAAAGACTTTACTCGGACATCTAATTGGAAGAGACTAGACGAGATAGGATAATAAAAGAAAAAAATAATTATTTATATACTTTGGTCTCAATCTTTTTAGCTTTTCAATTCTGCATGTACTTTGTAATGACGTGGTTTCATTTAGTTCCAGACTACATAAGATACCACAACAGGCAAAAAAAATTCACACAGTTCAGTTTTAAATCTTGTTGAGCTGTTCACAGTAAACTAGTTGTTCATAGTGCTTAAATTATTGATAATGAGCATTCTTTGTACATTGGGTTGGATGAGAGTAAGTAAATATGATATGAATAGGCAAGTTTTGTTCACATACTTGAATCTTAGATTTTTAATTCGGTTACAACAAGTTTAGCCCTCGTCTGGCCTCATTCTCTTTCATTTTTTTCTCTTATTTTCAACCACACAATTTTTCATAAATAGTATTATACGTAAATCGAAAATTTTCATTCTTTTTCAATCACACATTTTAAAAAAAATACTATTTCAAACATTAAAATTTAAAAAAAAAATGAGGGCCAAACGACAGCTTAATGTATG